CCCCAAAACCCCAAAACCCCAAAACCCCGAGTACCATAATGTGATTAGAATAGGTGAATTGAGAGAAAATAAAACAAATAAATAAGTTTTTAAAAATTTAAATATATTTGAAAAATGAGTCAATAACCCTAAGTGCAACTTCCGAACCTCTCTAATTAAAATAACTTCGCAAACCTACCAGATGAGATTAGTGGAGACGATAAGGAATGGAACCCCAATGAAGAGGAATAGGATCCAGACTTTAACAATGAATTTAGAGGCAACTTGTTTGATGAAGACAGACAATAAAATAGAATTTTTGGAAATAACATGAATGGAGGAGGAGGGATGGATCCTATAGTGTCACAGCCAGATGAAGAGGAAAGATAAAGCTTAGTTGACAAAGAAAGAAATTATAGAGGATTAGGAGACAATTAGCAAACTGGACTAATTGGACAGTAAGCCATGATGGCAACTGGAAAATAAACAATAATAATCTTAAACGGCATAAGAGAAATTAGCCAGCCAGATTTGCAAGCATAAGTTATTAGGTCAAGGTACCCAAAGAGCGATAGATTTTAATTAGCTCTGTGTGGTTGCTACAATCAAAGATCCCCAATTGACATTATCAAAAACCTGCCTCCTTTGTTTAAGTTTGAAGAGTAGTTTAAGGATGATAAATATCAGAGGATGGCAGTAAAACTTAAAATATGCGAGACTGGATCGCTTGTTCTTGATCACTTTATGGTACATCCCTTCGTAAGAGTCCACATCATTGACATGGATACGTACAAATACCTAGCAAAGAAAGATTCCCTGCAGCCAGGTGTGCACAACAAGGAGAGCACGTCCTTTGTGGACACTACCAAGTATGTATCAAAGTCAATCACTGATTTCTTACTTCCTATCTCTACATAAATGTACGACCTCAGAATTAAAGGCATGAATATCGCTCAATGGGACGAAGAATTTGTCATTAATGAATTCGCTCATCATATTCTAAGACCAAATGTCCTTATGCTATTTGAGATACTGGACTTCAACCCTCAAATGATTTTTGAAAACAGAAATAAACTTAACGCAGATTTATTATACCCGGTAGCCTGGGCTTACCTGAGGCCAGTTGGAACTGCTCATATTCATGTATCTAGAACTAGACTATAATTGTATAAGCATAAATTCAACTATGATGAGGAGATCAAAATGAAGAGACCTTACGATCCTAGAGTCCCATCAGTGCTCATGGAATTTAACTGGCCGAAGAAAGAATTCTACCCATCATTTCTAGAAATAGAACTGACATTTACAATGAAAAGTGATAAAATAATTGATAGGTATCACATCTCAAGGGCACCTTGGGAAAGAGAAGTAGGACTTCATTCGTTTGAAACAATTGCATAAGATACTATTAAGGGACCTGGCAAAATCACTGCATCAGAATTTACTGACGCATTAACACTTAAAAGGTGGGAAAAATTCGTTGACTTTCCATCTGAACTACCTGACTTAAAAATTTGGAAGTTTGATACTGAAGCTTTGGGCTGCTTCAAATTGAAATTTTCAACTTTGGGAAAATACTTAGCTGTCGCTTGCACTCAGGCAACATCTAAGACCTTAATCAAAATATTTAATGTTGAAAACGGTGAGATCAAAATAGTACTAAGAGGTCATCACGATTTGATTCATGATTTGGCTTGGTCTCATGATGAGCAATTTCTTATCTCAGCAAGTGCCGATTTCTCAACTAAGGTGTGGAATCTCACTTAAAAGGAAATAGATTATGCAGATAAGCTAAACTATACTGAAAACGATGTAATGTACTACCTAACAGCACTCTTACACCCCTCATATGTATATTCAGCCCAATTTTTCCCAGATACATCCTACGAGCAAAACGAAAGACTTATTATAGCTACAGTCTGCTATGACAGAAAAGTAAGAATATGGAAAGTAGATATTGGTGGAGATGGCTTATTTAGAAGTCAAGAGTGCTTGATAGAATTGAGTATTCTAGATAAACCTAATATTAAAGCAGGTGGACCAATAGGTATTTACGAGTAAGAGTAACTTGATGATGAGGCTTTAGATAGAATTGTCCATCCAAGAAATTATAAGGATGGTACATTCTTTACTAAAGCCGAGACTACAATGACTATAACTTACGATATGAGCGAATATATACATCCAAATTGTATGACTTTTAATAAAGATGGAAGATTATTCGTTGGTGATTCAAGAGGATAAATTAGTGTCTGGGACATTTCAATTAGAAGCGGTGATCTTTATGCTGATAACTACTTTAAGATAAGATAAAAAGAACTCGAGGGAGATGAAATAAACTAGATTATGATTCATCCTGAATTCTAGAATAAATTGATAGTACACTCTAGAGACAATTGCATAAGAATCGTAGAATATGAGTCAATGAGAGGGCCAAGAATCAGAAAGAGATTCTTTGGAGCTAAATGCAAGGATCTCATGATCAAGAGTTGCGTATCCCCAGATGGACAATACTTGGTTAGTGGTTCAGAGGATGGTATTCCTTACATTTGGAACACATAAACTCATGACACATACAGGACTAAGAAATATGAATGCAAATTCTTGGATTTAGTGTCAGATATTGATTGGAACAATAAATACAACATGTTTGCACTTGGAGGATTCGGGCATTAATTCCCTGTATTAGTTTATGTCTATTAAAGATCAGAGGAAGAACTTAATCAAATACTTTATAGTGGAGCTGGTATAAGTGTATTTGCTGAACAATTAACAACTCGTCATTCAGATGCTAGATCAAATACAGGAGCTCTAGCAAGTGTAAGAAGGTAAAATTCAGTAAGGTTTGGAAAGGAGAATGATCTCATAAGGTAGTCTCAAGAATTAAGAGCAGGTTTCAAAACTGATTTTGAGAATGTAAGTATTCAAAATAAATGTTTATCAATCTTAGAATAGTAGGAGGCTAGATAAATTCAATCAAGGAGGTCTAGGTCAAAGAGATTCAATGATGAGGGGGAGTCAGGATTTCCTTAACAGGCAAAATCGTCTGAGATAGAGTCGGTTCGAGAACGATTAAGAAGAAACTATGGGGTTGAATGAGAGGTTACCTCTGAGAGAAGTTTATTCATCCTCTAATCTCGGAAATTATAACAACTGATATATAATTTAATTTTTCACTCTCTTATAAATACCTCAGTTAATCTAAAAATTTCGATAAACTTTTTCGGCTGGGGTTTTGGGGTTTTGGGGGGATCTATTTGCAAACTAAA